TCTGTCTCTCATCTCTCTTGCTCTCTGTCTGTCTCTCTGTCTTTCTGTGTCTTTCTCTCTGTCTCTGTCTCTGTCTCCGTCTCTCTGTCTCACTCTCTCTGTCTATCTCTCTGTCTGTCTGTCTGTCTCACTCTCTCTGTCTCCCTGTCTTTCTGTCTTTCTCTGCCTCTCATCTCTCTTGCTCTCTGTCTCTGTCTCTCTCTGTCTCTGCCTCTCTCTTACTCTGTCTCTCCATCTCTACCTCTCTGTCTTGCTCTCTCTGTCTCTCTCTGCCTCTCTCTGTCTCTCTCTGTCTCTCTGTCTCTCTGTCTGTCTCACTTTCTGTCTTTCTGTCTCTGCCTCTCATCTATCGCTCTGTCTGTCTGTCTGGCTCTCTCTGTCTCTGCCTCTCTCTTACTCTGTCTCTGTCTCTATCTCTCTGTCTTGCTCTCTCTGTCTCTCTGTCTCTGTCTGTCTGTCTGTCTGTCTCTCTCTCTCTCTCTCTCTCTCTCTCTCTCTCTCTCTCTCTCTCTCTCTGTGCCTCTCTCTTCCCTTCTGGTTGGTACTGTGGACGATGTGCTCCTTTCCCGTGTACTCCTGTCCTCTCTTACGATCTCCTCCCCAGAACCAAGCTGATGCTCTTGAATGTCCAGAGCTGTGAGCAAAACAACATTCTTGTCTTTGTAGTTAGCCTGTCTTGGGTATTCTGTTCTAGCAACAGAGAGACTAACACAATACCTATGTCAAATACACAGAGACAGGAACATGACTACCAGTGAGATAGGAAAGATTCCCCAGTGAACTCCCAGACCCAAGTCCCACCTCAGGAAACAGATTCTCTCCACAAAGAAAACAAGGCAGTGAGGCTGCTTAGCACTAGGCCCAGAGATCTCTGGTAATCAGACAACAGAGGCTGAATGCACTCTTCAGAAAACGACACCTGCCCCAATTTGGCGCCCATGTTCCCGGAGCCCCACCATTCTAGACTAAGCTTTTTTATTTTAGAAGGAGCAAAGAGCCTTGCCGAGGCCATAGAATGTGTCAATAGAGTCTTCTGGATGGTTAACAACCTAAGTTTGCAGACCAAAATTAGAGAAAAAGGAGGGCTACAAGGAAAGCCAATATTTTGGCCCTACCCTTCTAAGGTCAATTAAGACTCAGGACATATGAGAACTTGTACTGTAACGTCATGTACCTCGGTAGTGTCCCAGATTTTCTGATCAAGAAGGTTATGGGGCCAAAGAGGAAATTGATCGATGACGTGGAGTGTGCCTAAGGAGAGTCACATGAGGAGAAGACACTCTCTCAGGCTTTCACAGAGAGCACATTGGCCAAGCAATGGCCGTGACTCATCCACATGGCTGCACTGACAACGGTTCTACATTCTGAGGTACAGGATCTCAGGATAAATCCTGAGGGCATTTCACTGACCTTCTCAAACCAAAAAGCTACAACTCTTGTTGCATAGGTTCTGCTTTACCTTGGTCTTAACCATCCAGTAGAAAAGTATGAAGATGAAATATAGGAAGTAAAGCCATGTTGTTATGTTGAGCTGTGGGGGACTCACGTCAATAATTTCTGACATTGCCAATTAAACAGAAGACCCAATGCTATTATGGGCTTCTGTACTCTTTTAGAATATTTTGCTGAGTTTACACACCTATAATATTCAACAACGGAACTTTAAAAAAATTGGGGTATAACTATGAATGTCCATTTTGTATATGTGTATTCAAAGTGTTTGGGATAGATATATAGTTGCATTCTCTTAATGAATAGAATGATTTTTTCTAATGGTGTTTGTAAGTAGGATCACAAGTCTGCATCTTGTACAGCAATTAACCACTAAGAAGAATATATGCAGTGTATTATTTGTTGAAACTGTACTTTCGATTTGATTTGAAACTGTCTCATTGCTATATGTTTATCAATAAAAGTTTGAAAAGAAAAAAAAATAAAACTTTGAAAAGAAAAAAAAAAAAAAAAAAAAAAAAGAATGTGTCAGTAGAGAGGCTGGGGCTGGCGAGCAGAGCTCCAGGCCCTACAGCTAGGCTCCTCCTGGAATACAGGGCTGCCTCCTAGCCCCAGCTGGGAGGGTAAGTATCAGCCCACCGAGGCTCCTGATTTTTTCTGTGAAGTCCCAATGTGCTTCTCCTCCTCCTCCATCACTGAGACCGACCCCAGGGTTGGGCTCTGCTCCCTTCCCAAACAGCTAAGGCTGCAGCGGATTCCTCCCAGGTGTAACCTCACACAGCTTTTGTCTCCTTCATGCATACAGAGTTTAGCCTGTAAATGCCGAGCGCGGCGCGGGGAAGTTTGCAGTGCTTCAATTCAGGGTAGAATCACTTTGAGGACCTCAACATCTTTAGGTGTAAGATGACAGTGAATCTAAATTCCCCGTAAATCATCAGTGATTTGAGCCTTGGTTTTCTCTCTGAAAACCGGAAATAATATATAATCCTCATAATATCATTGAACAAAAAATCCTATCTCCTCTCCTCAGAAATAGCCTTTTCATTCATTTGTAAGATATACTTCATTCTGCCCTTTTTTTTTTTTTTTGTAACAGTTCCTGGTCTATCTTTCCCACTAAATGGAAACCTCTGCAGGCAAAACCTTAGGCCCCCTATTTCTGTAGTTCTCAAACCTTAGCGCAACACTTGTGTACAAAGGGTGCGTTAATCCTGGCTGGGGTTCCCTCACAGAGAAGATGGGTGGGGAAGTCGCCAAGCTGCCCTACACCTAGAGCTGGCTCACTCACCTGGCAGCAGAGACTGGGGCATGGGCCAGGTGAAGCTGGGGGCCAGGTGTGCAGAGGAAGCAGGGCACCCCGGCACACAAGGTACATGGTGCCTGCACCAGCAGGGCCACAGGGAAGGGGTTCAGGCCGCAGGCCAGGACTGCAAGGTCCCTGAGCAGCGCTGCCCTCTAGGCACCCAACCCCCACCCCATCCCCCAGCCTCCAGGTCACAACCTGGAAGAGCCAGCCTCTTCATCATGCGGTGTCCCTCCAGCACCCTCTACCGACGAGGCTTCCTGGGCCTGGCTGTGCAGGAGAAGCCCTAACAGGGTCCAGCCCTTCTAACAGGGCCGTGACTAGGGGCCGGATTTGGAGCTGAGAGACAGTAATCAGCTAATGGGGGGAGGGGGACACTGGGACAGCTCACGGCACACACCTGCGATCCCAGCTACCTGAGAGGCTGAGGCAGGAAGGTAGCCAGTTCAAGACCAGCGCGGACAAATTAGTGAGACCTTGTCTCAAAGTAAAGAAGAATAAAAAGAGCTGGGTGTGCAGTTCAGTGGCAGAGGGCTTGCTAAGCATACACGAGGCTGTGCGTTTAATCCCCATTACTGTAGGCACAGCCGCGTGACCTGTTGGGCACTCCCGTAGTGTCTGCTGACTTCCCTCTCTTTGAATGCCATAGATTTTACTAAAAAATGTCAAATCTCTTTCATGTCTTCGTTACTCTCTAGAAGCCCACTCCCCTCCAGGCACTCTGCACCTCTCTTCTGGAGACGGGCTGACGGGCACACAGACCTGGACTTCACCTCCCAGCTTGTTTCCGCTCCCACCCTCATGCTTGTCTGTCTCCTGTCTACTTGCTTTCATTTCCAGGCAACCCACGGGTCCCTCAGGCACACTTTAGGAGCTTCCCGGCGCTTGACTGAAGGTGAAGGTGGAAGGGATTGAGGCTGATCCAAGAACCGGTCTTTCTCCGCCTTTAAGGGAACTGGACTAGCCACCTCAGGCAGCCTGCGAAGCATGTCTTTGGGGAAAGCTGAAGAGATTTGTACAAGAGCCTCCAAATATTTTAGAAGAAAATAGGCAATAAAGCAAACAACAGAGTCGGAGGATAATTACCCACGCAAATACACTCAGAAAGTGTTTAGATAGAGCTAATATTTTCCATCTAGACACCAACGGAGAAGAGTTTAGCAAGTCAAGGGCCCTTCAGGTGCTGTCTTATGGGAGATCGTGTTATTAATAGGCTCCAAGTTGGAGTCAAGACAGTGTTCTTAGGCATCAACCATCCTGTTCTTCTAGAAGATTCCATCCTCTTCTGAAGAGTCTGACTGACGTACTCAGTGTTTAGGATTCTCTGCAGGAACTAACTCAGCAGTGAGGGGGTGCGCAGCTAGGATCCCAGCAAGGTGCAGTGATTTCCAGACTATTCTGTGCTCCTGAAGGGTACTCAACCCTCCAGACCAAAGCATGGTACAGAACAAGGGGGAATTAAGGTTCCTGCTAAAATTTACCTTCGTATATTGTGGCTATCTTCTTTTCTGTGAGGTTTTTTTTTTTTTTTTTTTTTTTTTGGGGGGGGGTGACAATGGACATTCTTATCCAGTGGGTCTTGCAGTAGACTAGAGTAAAGCCATCTCTGTGCCTTATCACCCATTACCGCCACACAAACCAAGGCAATCACAGTCTTAAGTGATGAAGGAAAATAACACGCCTTTCTTCGTGAGCAGTACAATTGTTTTATTTTTTCTTCTTGCTCATCTGCATTTTCTTTAATAAGCACATACTCCTTACTGTATTTGTAAAGATACATGTAAAACTTTGTGTATAAATAAAATTTTAATCAACACAATTATCTCTCTCTAAATCCTGAGCCGCAGCACTGGTTGCTGTCTCAGATCTGCCCAGACCCTCCCCACCCTCCTCGCTCCCTGTTTAGATCTGCTGCCAAAAGTCAGCAGATTTCAGTTTTAGAAGAGGATTTTGGAAGGGATTTATACCCTCACTTGCAAACTTCTAAAAACAGCCCTTTTTTCTTCTGCCCTCACCAAGCGTGATGGCTGCCACACCTGCCTCTGATGTGACAAAAGCTACGTGGTGAATAAAAGGCTTGTGTGAACCTCGCACACCCTGCGGGGGAGAGCGCCAGCCGGGCGCCCCAGCCGCGTGGGGGCGCCGTGGGGTGATTCAGCCTCAGGCATGGCTCTGCCCACCCACGCGTACCTTGGAGATTTCCTTCAGCATTGCTAACCTTTGATCTGTCGCTCTGCCCTTTCAGATTTTTGACAATGAAGCCAAAGACCTAGAGAGAGAAGTATGCTTTATTGATATCGCCTGTGATGAAATTCCAGAACGCTACTACAAAGAATCTGAGGTAAGCGGCAGTGGGTGACAGGTTGGAGAGTCACTCCCGCACGCTCTTCATTTGTTCGTTCATTCATTCATTCGTGTGTGAGTGCATAACGTGTGTGTGCGTGCATGCGTGAATGTATTATTAAGTGGCTCCTGGCATGGGATCCTTCTGTCCTTGTGCTGACTAAATTTGGTCTCACATCTTGCTAGGCTCTTTAATATGGGTCTCAAAACTAAGTCTGTGGGGCTGGTGAGATAGCTCAGCAGTCTAAGCACCTGCCTGGCAAGCATAAGGACCAGAGTTTGATCCCCAGTACCGCCTTGCCCACCCCCACGCTGAGTGTGGTAATGCATACCTATAATCCCCAGCCCTGGGGAGGCTGAGACAGGAAGATCACTATGAGTTCAAACTGTGTAGTGAGACCCTGTCTCTGTGCCCCTCCGATGCCATCATGGGCTCTGCCTGTCACTTACTGTCTATCTGGCCATCCCCTCTGCCTGACTGTGCTGCCGTCACTCTGGGTCACACCACTGCTCGCGGAGTTGTGTCACCCAACACACCAGCCGCTCTGGAAAGCTCCCCCATCGCCGTTCGCTGGGAGGGTGTGAGCTGCACTGTATTTGTATCTTTGGGGTACAATGAAGAAAATGCTTGGAGGCTGGTGGCGCCCTGTGGCAGGACACTCACCTCGCATGTGTGAGGGCCTGGGTGTGATCACCAGGGCCTCAAAACCTGGGTGACTCATGTCGGCTGAGGCCTTTGCTTACATAGCAAGTACCTTCACGAAGAGTTCTTTTTGCTTCCCAGCTGAGAATCTGCAGTGTTTCAAAGAATGTCTTTCCCTCTGGCTTCCACCCTTCCAGAAGCTGCCTTTTGCCTTGGTGCTCTCTTATTTTACTGGTAGCACAAGTTGCCCTGTCTGCACGGTTAGTATTAGTGGCTGCTGGTGCAACTTGAGTGACCCACTTATAAATAATGTCCCAGCCCTGCAGTGACAACAGATGCAGGACTATTTTTGTTGTTTAGCAACATGCAGCCAATCACAGCGTGCCTGGGACCAGGGCCCTGCACTTGTCCTTTAGCGGTAACGCGTGGACCTTGAAACTCTCTCAGATTCATTAAGGCTGACTGAAGATGTAATAAGTAGACCTGGTACAGTGAATTCCACTGGGTCGCACACAAGCCGGGCTCCGCTGAGGTTCTCTCTCTTCTTTTCTTTTTCCTCTTCCCCATGCTGAAATCTGTCTGGATATGCAAAAGTCTTACCTGATCTCAGTAGAGGAGCAGCGGCTTGATTGCAGGCTCCAGCCCTTCAGTAGCTGTCCAGTCATGGGCTGGGGAGAGGCTGGCGTGAACCCCTCTGTGTCTGTCAAACACGGACCCGGACATTAAGCATGTTGATGTCATCAACCTACACTACACACTGCAGCCAACCATGGTTGTGCATTTCAAGAAAAACAGAGTTAAATGCTGCCCACAGCGCTCAAACGAGCCTGTGCCCCCTCGGGAGACACCTGTACAGTTTCAGCCCAAAGCCTGGGGTGTGGGGGATGCACAGGCGAAGCCATTGCCCATCACTTCTGTGACTTACTGGCACGGGGGACTAGTGCTGTGTGGGACATCCTGTCTCCTTGGCCACCGTGGGCCTTCTGGGAAGGCAGTGTTGTCAGAAAACAGAACTAATTTCAGTTCTTCCTCGTGATTTGGTGTGGCCCTCGGGAAGCACCTTCCTGGTTTAGTGGAAAGGCTGGGGACACTTGAGAGACATTAAGGAAGAAGTCAACGGGTCAGTGGGCACTCAGCTCGTGGCTCCATGCCCCCAGCACCCCCACTAGAGAGCTCCTCTGGTTGCACACAGATCACAGATTTGTGGTGCTCACGCATCAGGCTTCACCGTTACTCATGGATACATTCATGTCTCTGTCTCTCTCTCTCTCTCTCTCTCTCTCTCTCTCTCTCTCTCTCTTTCTCTCTCTCTCCGGGTCATTCAGTCTTCTTTCCTGGAGGCAGTTGCACCAAGGAAATGAGAGATGAGGTGTCACTCATCCAATACATTTTTAGAGTTCCAAGCCAAGCATGGTGGCCTGAGCCCATAATCCCAGCACTTGGGAGGCTGAGGCCAGAGTTCGTTGGAAGTTCAAGACACGCCTGGGTTACAAAGTGAGCTCAAAGCCAACCTGAATGCATACCGAAACCCTGTCTCAGAAAAGACAAAAAAAGCAAACTATTAGAGTTGCCACAAGTGTCACGTGTGAGATTGAGACAGAGACAGCAGTGAACAGAAAAGTCACTCGGTCTCCTTCCCTGAGAATACTTCCAATCTAGCAAGAAAGGCAAAGAGTAAAATAATCCCATGGGCACCCATGGAGTTACAAGTCAGCAGTGCAAGCTGGAAGTGCACAAGGGGACACTGAGGTAGGGGGAAGTGAATTTAAGAATACCATATGGGAGACCCTCCGCCAAGTGTTCTAGGAAGGATGAATGTGATACTGAGGCCTGCGGGGAGCAGGGGGGGCCGAGGGGGGCAATGCTGGCAGAGGCTGTGGTTGTACGGGGGGCTCATGGTGCCACACAGGCAACGGGGCCAACGTAGCTGCACGGCATAGATGAGAGGATGACACGGGGGAGGAGGGGCTGTGTGAAAGCACTTCGATTTTATTCAAGTCAGATGCCTTTGACGACACTAGAGCTAATGTCTTACGGTTTGATGTCTGCCTTTCAAGGACTGCCACAGCGGAGGGGAGGTCAGGAGCCACCAACTCCATCAGAATCAATTTGTGTTTCGGGTTCTTTACGTTATATGGTAGCTTGAACTGGAGGGTCAACAGCACACAGAGTAGAGCAGATCGTTTCAGATTTTTTTTTTTTTTTTTGTATTAGGAATTGAACTCAGGACCCTGTGTTTGCCAAGCAGGTGCTGGGCCACTGAGCTACTTCCCTGGTTCTGCAGATACTTTTTGAAGCTAGGATAGATGGGAATTGGTCATGGACCAGATATAGGGACAAGAGAAGTGTTGGAATGAACACGAGGATGCAGTGGATACTGTTTACTGACAAAGGCAGGTGACAAGAAGAGTGGATTTGGGAGGGACTGAATGGGTTTGGAGTAGTTTGTATGCCAGTAGAACAAGGAGAGTGAGTCTGGGGCATAAGTGAGAGATCTGGGTTGGAGACAGATCTGAGAATCTGGCAAGTAGAAGACATTTTCCTGGAAATAGATGAGAGAAAGAAAGTGTGAAGATTAATGGGACCGAGCCTCGGAGGAGACCAGGGAGTGAGTGAAGAGGCATCAGGAACCCACAAAGCCCTGGCAGAGAGGAAGGAGGAACGCCAGGAGGGCGCGTCGAGTGACGCAGGCTTCCGCAGGAAGAGTCCCCCACTGGGCTGTGTGACGCTCAGAGCCCTGTTAGGGCAGAATGGAAAGCTAAGTGGAAGTCGGATGAAGCAGAATGGAAGTGGCTGGAGAAGCGTTCCCTGGAGGAGTTCCCAGCTGGCAGCGCGCGCTCCCCGTAAGACCTCTGCCGCTTACAACTTGGTGGCAGCGGGGGGCGCTCCCGTCATCTGATGGGCAGAGGCCACGGGGCTGCTGCTCAGCACCGCTGGTACACAGGGCGGCCCCTTACCCTGATTCTCGGCCCGAGCTGACCAGTGCCGAGGCCAGGAAGCCAGCTGTCAGGCCCAGAGCCACTCCTGCCTGTCCTGGGTAGATGAGAAAGAAAGGCCCCCTCGGCTCAGTCCACATGCTCCTCGTCAAGGGCTGCTTCCAGAAGGCCTGCCGGCCTGCGACACAAAAGAGAACTTCCTCCAGAGATCTGGCACTTGTATCATGAGGGAGGCAGCCATAACTGGGAAGCTGCAATAAAATCGAGGGAAGGAATGCCAAGAGGACCCCCGTATGACCTCAACCCCACCATTCTCTGACTCTCAGAGTCCCAGACTGCAGACGGAACTCGCCAGAAAGGAAAGGGGCGTGTGATCTTGTGTGCCAGGGACCAAGAGTCGGGGAAGCCGCTAGCTGGAGGGCAGACTTCCCAAGGACGTTTCTCCTTGGCACGCTGTAAATAATTAACACCCTGCTCTGCACCACAAGCCTTTCCCTCCACCACGAAGTCTGACCTTGTCCCTCTGCTTAAGCTCCTTACCGGGCCTCGGCTCACACGTGCCTCCTCCAGGAGCTTCCCGGAGCGCGTCGCTTCCCCAGCCCACGCTGGTCTGTGTCTTCTAAGCACGTTGGATCCCACTAGCGCCTGCCAGTTCACAGCCATAGCGTGAGCTCCGCGGAGACAGGGATTGTTTGTTTGGTGTTCGTTTCTCAAGACAGGGGCTCACTGTGTAGTTCAAGCTGCCCTTGAAATCACCCTGTAGCCCAGGCTGGCCCCAAACTCATGGCGATCGCCCTGCCTCAGCCTCCCGAGTGCTGGGGTTATAGGCGTGCGCCACCATGCCTGGCTACATCGTCCTCACTCCCGGAGCCCGCAGCTGCAACAGCTCCAGACAGTAACAGTTTAGTACAAGTTCTATCAAAGGAAAGGAATCTGTCGCCATTAAGCTAACAGTTGGGAATCAGACTTCTGTTTTCTCCATGTGTTTTCCTCTCTGAGGCTTCCGGCCTCGCGGGCTGTTTCTTCTCCTCTGTCCTTGTCAGTGGGCATCTCGGACAGCAGCGCACCCTCTGGAGAAAGCCAGCGCTGGCGGGCAGAAGCTGGCGCAGACCTTTGGGTACTCAGGAATCCCGAGCAGGCTCATGGGGCACTTTTCTCCAGCCAGCGACTGCCACACACACTGCCCCCCCTCCGGGCCAAGGAAGAAAGAGAAGGCTTTCTTTCTTTTTTCACTTCTCCCTGGAAACCTCTGAGCTGCCCTGTCAGAGTGCCTCTCTCATTAAGATGACCGGCCCGGGGATTTTCCACCGGCTGCCCTCAGCCTCCCAGCCCTCGTGCCACACCTCACCCACCGTGCCACACCTAGCCAGGGCTTCTGAAGGACACGCTGGGGACTGGGATCAGCTGATCACCCAGTCA